TTCCATGTGCACTTGAGAAGAATGTGTATTCAGTTGAGTTTGGATGTAAAGTTCTGTAGATATCTGTGAAATCTATCTGGTCCAGTGTATCATTTAAAGCTCTCGTTTCTTTGGAGATGTTGTGTTTAGAAGACCTATCAAGGGTAGAGAGAGCTAGATTGAAGTCACCAAGTATAAGTGTATTATTATCTAAGTATTTCTTTACTTTGGTTAATAATTCGTTTAAGTATTTGGCAGCTCCCACATTCGGGGCATATATATTGAGGATTGTTAAGTCCTCTTGTTGGATAGATCCTTTAAGTATGATATAGTGTCCCTCTTCGTCTCTCACTACTGTCTTCGGAGTGAATTTTAGTTTATCTGATATAAGGATGGCTACCCCTGCTTTCTTTTGAGAACCATTTGAATGGTAAATGGTTCTCCAACCTTTTATTTTCAGGTTGTAGGTGTATTTCTGTCTAAAATGAGTCTCTTGTAGACAGCAAATAGATGGGTCCTGTTTTTTTATCCAGTCTGAAACCCTGCGCCTTTTGATGGGGTCATTAAGCCCGTTCACGTTCAGAGTTACTATTGACAGATATGAGTTTAGTGTCATCATGATATCTATTTAGTCCTTGTTTTTGTGGATTGTTCCACTGAACTTCTTCTTAAAGGGGAATTTTAAGAGTCCCCCTTAAAATTTCTTGCAGAGCTGGTTTGGAGGTCACATATTCTTTCAGTTCCTGCCTGTCTTGGAAGCTCTTTATCTCTCCTTCCATTTTGAATGAGAGCCTTGCTGGATAAAGTATTCTTGGTTGCATGTTCTTCTCATTTAGGACCCTGAATATATCCTGCCAGCCCTTTCTGGCCTGCCACGTCTCTGTGGAGAGGTCTGCTGTTACCCTAATATTCCTCCCCATGAAAGTCAGGGACTTCTTGTCTCTTGCTGCTTTAAGGATCTTCTCTTTATCTTTGGAATTTGCAAGCTTCACTATTAGATGTCGAGGTGTTGAACGGTTTTTATTGATTTTAGGGGGGGATCTCTCTATTTCCTGGATCTGAATGCCTGTTTCCCTTCCCAGATTGGGAAAGTTTTCAGCTAGGATTTGTTCAAATACATATTCTGGCCCTCTGTCCCTTTCGGCGCCCTCGGGAACCCCAATTAAACGTAGGTTTTTCTTCCTTAGAGTGTCATTTATTTCCCTTAATCTGTCTTCATGGTTCTTTAATTGTTTATCTCTTTTTTCCTCAGTTTCCCTCTTTGCCATTAACTTGTCTTCTATGTCACTCACTCGTTCTTCCACCTCGTTAACCCTCGTCGTTAGGACTTCTAGTTTGGATTGCATCTCATTCAGTTGATTTTTAATTTCTGCCTGATTGGATCTAAATTCTGCAGTCATGAAGTCTCGTGAGTCCTTAATGCTTTTTTCTAGAGCCACCAGTAGCTGTATAATAGTGCTTCTGAATTGGCTTTCTGACATTGAATTGTAATCCAGATTTTGTAGCTCTGTGGGAGAGAGGGCTGTTTCTGATTCTTTCTTTTGAGGTGAGGTTTTCCTTCTAGTCATTTTGCTCAGTGCGGAGTGGCCAAAAACAAGTTGTATTGGGAAAAGGAGAGAAAGAGAGAGAAGGAAAGAAAAGAGAAAAAGAAAAAAGAAAAAGGAAAGAAGAGAAGAAAAAGGGAAAGAAAAAGAAAGAAAGGTGAAAAAAAAAGGGGGTGGGGGAAGCAATCAGAAATCAAAAAGAAAAGAAAAAAGAAAAGAAAAAAAAAAACACGGGGGAGTATTTCTGTAGACTTTAAGTCCCTTGACTTCCCCTGGAACTGGTCCGTCCAGCTGGTCTTCTGGGGGAGGGGCCTGTTGCGCTGATTTTCAGGTGTTAGCACTTGGGGGAGCTGCTCTGCCCCTGCCTGCTGCAGGGCTCAGCGGGGTTGTTTACCCCGTGAGGTCTCAGGAGGAACAGTTGCAGTTGCTATGGCAACTCTGGAAGCCTGGATTCAGCCTCCGCAGGAACTACGGGGCTCGGGGCTCTCGGCTTTCCATCTGCAGGGCCTGGAGGCTCCGGGGCGGGGCCGCTGATCTGCTCAGCTCGGGGCAGGAGCGTCCTTGCTGTCCTGGGCCCTCCCGGCCTCTGCCTGTCCCGGGGGGAGGCCGGATCCTGGGCTGTGTACCGGCGCCCTGTGCTCCGGGGCCTGCGCTGTTGGATTTGCGCTCCCGCCCTGCAGCTCCCTCCCTGGATCCGCTCCCGAGCCCCTCCGAACTGCTCCGGTGCGTGCTGCAGCCCTTAGGGAGCTCGGCGCACTCTCCTGCGCTCGCAGGTGTCTGTTAGTGTCCCCGGGAGCCCGAGGGCATCCCCGCCCTCCTGGGTCCTGCTCCAACTCCCTGCGAGCCCCTTTCCGCCGCCGGGAAGGTTGGTGCAGCTCCTGCTCCTCCGGGACGGGGCTCTCCTGTCCTGGGGACACTCGCCCCGGCCTCAGCCCGGCTCCTCCGGGGCCCCTCCCTCTCGGAGGCCTTTTGTTTCTTTATTTCTTTTTCCCCGTCTTCCTACCTTGATAGAAGCGTGAACTCCTCTCACTGTAGCGTTCCAGCTGGTCTCTCTTTACATCTCAGGCCGAATTCGTAGATTTTCAGGATGGTTTGAAGGTTATCTAGGTAATTTGGTGGGGACAGGTGATTTGGGGACCCTGCTCTTCCGCCATCTTGCCCCTCCCCCCTCTTGTTCATATGTTCTTATAATTGTTTATATTTCCTTGGTGTGGTCATGATCTCTCCTCTTTCAGTCATGATTTTGTTAATTTGGGCTTTTCTCTTTTCTTTTGTATTAGTCTGGCTAGAGGTTTATGGATCTTACTAATTCCTTCAAAGAACCAGCTTCTAGTTTCATTGATCTGGCCTACTGTTCTTTTGATTTCTATTTAATTGATTTCTGCTCTAATCTTTATTATTTCTGATCTCCTGCTTTGTTTTGGCCTTACTTGCTGTTATTTCTCCAGCTCCTTTAGGTGAAAGGTCAGATTGCATATTTGAGACTTTTTAATTTTTTGAGAAAGACTTGCTATGTACTTCCCTCTTAGGACTGCCTTTGCACTATCCCAAAGGTTTTGAACAGTTGTGTTTTCATTTTCATGAATTTAAAAAATTCTTCTTTAATTTCCTGGTTGCCCATTCAATCTTCAGTAGGATGCTCTTTAATCCCCAAGGATTTGAGTTCCTTCCAAAATTCCTCTTGTGACTGAGTTCAAGTTTCAAAGTATTGTTGTCCAAAAATATGCAGGGAATAATCCCAATAGTTTGGTACCAGTTGAGACCTGATTTGTGACCCAGTATAATATGATCTATTCTACAGAACATTCCATGTGCACTTGAGAAGAATGTGTATTATGTTGCTTTCAGATGGAATCTTCTGTATATATCTGTGAAGTCTATCTGGTCCAGTGTGTCATTCAAAGCACTTGTTTCCTTATTGATCTTCTGTTTAGAAGATCTGTCCATTTCTGTGAGTGGGGTGTTGAAGTCTTCTGCTATTATTGTATTATTATTAATATGTTTCTTTAATTTTGTTACTTATTGGTTTCTATACTGGCTACTCCCAAGTTAGGAGCATAAATATTTGGAACCCTCTTCCATCACTGGTAGGAATGCAAACTGATACATCCACTCTGGAAAACAGTATTGAGGTTCCTCAAGAAGTTAAAACAGAGCTACCCTATGCCCAGCAATTGCACTACTAGGTATTTACTCCAAAAATACTAATGTAGTGATCTAAAGGGACACCTGCACCCCAGTGTTACAGCAGCAATGTCCACAATAACCAAACTGTGGAAAGCTGGGGTGTCCATTGACAGATGTACAAAGAAGATGTGGTATATATATATCCAATGGAATATTACTCATCCATCAGAAAGGATGAATACTTACCATTTACATTGACATGGATAGAACAGGAGGGTATTAGGCTAATCAAAATAAATCAATAAGAGAAAGACAAATATTATATGGTTTCATTCATGTGGAATATAAGGAACAGCACAGAGGATCATTAGGGAAGGGAGGGAAAACTGAATGGGAAGTCATCGGAGAGGGAGAAAAAGTATGAGACTCTTAACTACAGGAAACAAACTGAGGTTGCTGGAGGGGAGGTCAGTAGGGGCATGGAATAATTGTGTGATGAGCATTAAGGAGGGCATGGGATGTGATAAACACTGGGTGTTAAACACAACTGATGAATTACTGAATTCTACATCTGAAACTAGTGATGTTCTATATGTTGGCTAATTGAATTTAAGTTAAAAAAAAAAACCCTGTATTATAACTCTACTGGGAAGATGGGGAAAAAAAGCAGAGAGGATGGAAGCACAGGAGAGCTAAATCTTCACTACCATTCCTATTGACCATAATAGGAAGTCAAAGGGCAGTGTCAAAAATAAATTAATGAAAAAGGTATTTAGAAATTTGTAGATAGGTAGAGAGATATATGAAAGCCAGAAGACATAGATAGAAAAGGAGTCCAAAATTTTTGCCTCTGGGGAGGAAGACTTGAGGAAGTAGGAAGGAATGGAGTAGAAAGCCATTATATTTATAATAAGACTTCTATTACTACTTGATTTTTTATTCTTACTGCATGCATTACATCAATCAAAAGCCAAAATAGTATTTAAAATTCCTGGGTTCCAAGAGCGGCTATAATGCCTGATTTGGGCCTATATTTAAATTGGATATTCACTCTGAATACCCAGTTTTATCTCCCTTTATAAATGCCCACAGTTTATACCACCCTCTGTATTTTCTAAATGCACAATGAAATCTCATGAACATAGAATAGGGACAGGCAAACTATAGCTATCAGGCAAAATTGGCCTATTTTTCTATGAGCTATGAATAAAAATGGCTTTTATAATTTTAAATGGTTGAAAAAATCAAAAGGAGAATAATATTTTGTGACACATAAAATTACATGAAATTTATATTTCAGTGTCCATGCTCATATGTTTACACTTTGTTGATGGCTGCTTTTGTGCTACAATGGCACAGTCAGTAGCTGTGACAGTGACTGTGGCCAGCAAAGCAAAGAATATTTGCTATCTGGGCCTTTATAGAAAATGTTTGCTGACTCATGACTTAGAAGCTTAGTAAGACAGGATGGATATATGTCAGACCATTTCTCCTCTGTTACCACCTTTCTGAAATCATATTCTGGAAATATATGTACATATAAGCAAATGCACACTCCAAACTATCAGAAAATCATCTCCCCTAGCTTCACCATCAAAGTTTTTTTTTGTCAGATTTCATTATAGCAATTCCCTGGCAGTCCCTACTTCTCAGCACTATGATTTCTGAATTAACTTGTAGCCTGTCATCTTCTCAATAAGAAACAAAGAAAAACTTACTTAGGACCTGACTATAAGAAAATTGAGGATACCATCTTCCAGTCTCTAGCATTACTGTTATCAGAAAGAAAAGGAAACTAGGAAGGTGAATGATCTAGAAAAGAAGAAAGTAATTAGAAATAAGCAATAATATTCTAATTTTCTTTACAAGAGGGTTTATCTCCTCAAAGGTAGTACTATATTAGCAACCATAGGAAAATGAAAACTGAAATGTATTTTTAATGTTTTTTTTTCATTATTGATTTGAAATCCAGATCTGTTCTCCATAAAATTGATTCTAGAAAGATAGTCGGCCTTCAAGACCTTCTGTTGCTTGGCCATAGAGTGGTCCAAAACTGAATTTGCATTTCAGAAAGTGAGATTAAGAAGTTTGGGGTGGGGGGAGAAGGATAGAGGGCCTATGCTGTTTTCTGTCTATACTGGGCTTAAACAACTGAGACATTTCTACTCTCTTACCTGGGCCTTCCCTGTTCCTCTAACCTGGGATACAGATATTGTGATGCCTCCTGTTAGGGAAGGTCTTCAAATTATGGTTTAGTTTTTTTTGTACTAGGAAAGTTAGTGATGTCAACTCTACCAAAAGAACTCCCTGGTCCTATTTCTGGATTGAGACTTGAATGCTGTAATATTTCAGGGTAAAGACTTCTTAGAAAGCTGGCTTGAGTTATGCATAGACCTGAGGAATAAGAGAAGGGGAAAGAGAAAATAGAGTCCTGTTTTCAGGGATTATTAGGAACATTAAATAAATTTCCAAAAGATTCTGACCTAAATATAAAGCTAGAATCTACTGAAATACAGGGTACTGAGAGTTAGCAGAAGTACCTTCTAATCTCTACTAAACTTTGTTTTGTTACCCTGTATATCCCTTTATTTTCATATCATCATCATGCCTCTGCTATGCTGATGTAGTTAATAACCACAAACAGAGACAAATTAGTATTAGAGGTATGGAGACTTAGGAAAGAATTGCAAACTTCTTCTCTGAAAGTATGAGAACCCCAAGAAAAATATAAATCTTTATAACACAAAGGAAGGATACTGGCCCAAGGACACATAACCTCCTTCCTCACTGCTGCTCATTGTTTTCCTTTCTGGCAGAAAATCTTCAGTATTCCACATACTGAATCTGTGTGTGTCCTTATGGGAAATAAAGAAAGAGGAAATGAGCCCCATTCCTTCTCTTCAACTCTGCTCTTTTAGCTTCCCTCCCTTCCTGATCAACCAAGTGCCCCATCTTACCTACTATGTAAGCTTCTAGGCTCTTTCTGCCAAGTTTTCTCTTATGTCATGGTTACGCATTCCTCATCATTTTTTGTATTCTGCTACTGAATGCAGAACTAGATATCCTTGGGCAGAACATTAAGAATTTGGGATCTCTGGGTGGCGCAGCGGTTTGGCGCCTGCCTTTGGCCCAGAGCGCGATCCTGGAGACCCGGGATCGAATCCCACGTTGGGCTCCCAGTGCATGGAGCCTGCTTCTCCCTCTGCCTGTGTCTCTGCCTCTCTCTCTCTCTCTGTATGACTATCATAAGTAAATTAAAAAAAAAAAAAAGGGAGCTGCTGTTTAAAAAAAAAAAAAAAAGAATTTGATTCTGTCACTCCAGGATCTGTTCCTTGGTGTGGTTTTGACCTCAACCCGGTAAGGCATAGTTGCCAGAACTGAGTCAGAACTAATTCAAATAAGCTATGGCAAAAAACCTTTGGGCCAAAAGAGTTCCCACTTAAATTGAACTCCTGATCCAGGGAGGATGTTCCTGAGTTTCAACACAGGGTACTCTTAGGTCTCCAATATCTGGCCATTGTCTAGCTCAGAGGACAACTGCAGGCCAGAGGGGAAGTCAGTTTTTTTTTTAATTTTTATTTATTTATGATAGTCACAGAGAGAGAGAGAGAGAGGCGCAGAGACACAGGCAGAGGGAGAAGCAGGCTCCATGCACCGGGAGCCTGACGTGGGATTCAATCCTGGGTTTCCAGGATCGCGCCCTGGGCCAAAGGCAGGCGCCAAACCGCTGCGCCACCCAGGGATCCCAAGGGAAGTCAGTTTTTAAGAAAAGACATACAGACTTTCAGAAGTATATCCTGGTACATACAGGAGCTCTATGGAAATTAAACACCATCTTAATCTACATGCCGGCATTCCAAATTTTGGTTATATACCCCCAGCTAATAATTCCCTCAGTGAAAAAGATCTTCCCCAGAACTTCCTCTAAACAATTCTATTTGTGTTTTTTACTTTTCTAGTTCTCCAACTATAACTCAGGGAGATTTGGGGACTGAAGCTCAAAACCCTTGAAACCAGTGTACCTTTTACCATGTGTTAAATGTTTTACTTTGGTAAAAATCTCACTTGTGTTCTACCACAGTCCTATGAAGTATCAGTATCCCCATTTATAGATAAGAAAGCTCAGAGAAATTACTTGCTTATGTTAGATTCAATGATAAAACTAGGACTTGAATCTAAGCTTTTCTAAAGCTGGCCTCTGCTCTTTCCAAATCCTATGCTGCTGGTCATCATTCAATTAGTAATTCAGTTCTTAAAGGTATCTAAGAAGAAAAGAGTAAAATCCTCTAACTCCATCATTTCACAGGTTTGCTTAGAACTGATAATAATCACTACAAGAAAGAGGGAACATGAAAAGGATACTATAGCTTAGGCTGGAGCATAGGATACAACTGAATATGTCTATCAATTTCAGGGGTCCCAGGCTCCTTATCATTGGAGATCAAACAGTTATTCCTCACCTCCCAAAGCTCACAAGAAGGGTAAACTTGTTTTGTTTTGTATAGCCAAACTACAATGGAGAGTCCCTGGAGCAAGAGACATCCACTTGTCCAGCTAGAAAGGCCAAAGCTCTGGTAACGCCTTTTCCTGGCATTGCCTCCCTCACCTATAACCACCCTCAGAGGTGTGAGAAGCTGATATCCACACTCCACTGGCTTGCCTATAGGTGAATCATAGGAGAACGAGCCCTGGGTACTAATTTTAATGCTGTTGCTATGTACCGGTGGGACCTTGATCAGGGCTCTTTATCTCTCAGTTTTTTTCTTCTGTGAAATGAGGGAATGTTCAAGATATACCATGGGGAGCCTAATGAGCAAGGACAGACCCATGGATTCCAACCCAAACCATATATTTCTTTCTCTCAAGTCCCTACCCCACAATGGGTAATCTAAGAGCTCTTTACTACGTTAGATTCAACACAGGCCATATACCTACCTACTGGCTTCTTTGTGCCTGCACTGTCCTAAGCATCTTCCTCAAGCTTTCCCATTAGCACTCTTTGGGAGAAAACAAAACAAAACAAAAAACCCAAACACAACCCCACTCCTTCACTCCAATGCTAGGTGACCGAAAGTTCTAGTCAGATTCTGAAACCCTCGTTTCAGAGGGAGGAGGAGATGGAAGGAGATGAGAGCCTGTTCTTCAGGAGGGTGAAGTTTAGGAAGCTGCCAAATACTATGCCAGATTGCTTTTAGCTATCTTCTTACAGATTCCTCATTTTTCTATATCTCATTAATAAGAAGCCTAACAGCCTCTTCCCTCTGAGGCAAATGAGTAAGACAGCATCTTGGGGCAGAATGGCCTTTTAGCCCCATCTTAGACTAGGGACTCAGAAGCCGCTTAGACTACATTCCCCACAAGACACCTCTCTGCTTCCAGTCTTCCAATTTTCTTCCTAGGGGGCATGCATGCTCTGACCATTAGTGTAAGATCCCCGCGATTGAAGTACAGGCCAGGTTACACCCTTCAGGCCAGGTTACACTCAGCCTTCAGAATATGGGAGAGTACTCAAAAGAAAGGCAGCGTGGGCTTTTACCCATTCTGAGCACCCAATCTTTCTCCAGCGTCTCTTGCAGTAGGCTCGGGATCCCGCATGGTTCCTCAGTCTAATGCCTGTGGTCACTGGAGGACAGGAACCCGCTGCGTGTGTCCCCTTAGCTTTAAGGCAAGAAGGAACCAGAGCCCCAGAAAGGGACTTTGGCGAAATTGCAGATAAATTATTCGTGCAGCTTGAATAATTTTAGTTTTAAGTGTAGTAGGCAGGGAGAAAATTGTGAACGGGAGTGAGGCAGGCGGTCAGTTTCTTAGCCAATCATAAAGCACAATTGATGTTGCAACCTGAAAACCCCGCCCCGTTGCCACGGCAACAGTCAGGGACTAAAATTTCTGGTTTCTTTCATTCTTAGATCAAATCTTAAATAGTTCGGTAAAGGCCCACCAAATAAGATCTGGTCTTTGCTCTCCAGTAGATGAAGTAAGGAGGGCAGTCGATAAAAAACTCCTAAGTGTAGGCAACATACTAGACAATGAGGTTAAAACAAACGCTGCCCTTGCTTTCAAGCAAATTTATCTAAGACAAAAGTGATGATTGCTGTGATGTATCAGGACAAAATACGAAGACTCCTAACCCAGACTGTCAAAAAGGAGAGGTAGAGAGAGAATGAAAGGCGCCCAGAGAAAGTAATGGGTGTGAATAAAGTCCTAAAGTGTCCTAGATTTGCAAAGAACTTCAATCCTCATTATCTGCACACAAATTTAAAATCCAATTAGATTAAAGAATGAAATATTTAAAAAAATAAGTTTTAAAAGAAAATATAGGATACTATTTTTATGACCTAAGGCAAGGAACTAAGTTACAAAGCTAAGAAGCTTTAGAGGAGACTGATAAAACTGACAACATAAAATTAGCAACTTATTAATAGAAGATACCATAAACAAGATTAAGAGATAAGAGAAAGGGCAAAATATCTGCATTGTGCTTGAGAGCAATCAATATTTAGATGTCTATGCCCACCAGCCAAAAGTGCCAGGAAACATACCTGTAGGCAAGCAGAGTTGGGTTTTACAGGTTGTAACAAAAAAGACTATGTACCATGGGGAAATCTTGGACATCTCATAAGAGGTGGTTAAGAAAGAATTGTCTTGTAATTTGAGCTTGTGTTAAGTTTGGGGACAGTCTGCCAGAAAGTGAGGCAATTCCATGATTGGATAACTTAATTATTATCTAGGACATGGTAGCAGTTGAATGGAGCTAAAGTTGTACTTGATAAAGCAGTAGCAGACTGTCATTTGGCTGGGAGAATATGTTTGGTCATTTTTTTGGTAATTTTCACCGTGTTCTTGTCCTTATCTGTGCTCAGATATGATTAGAATGGTTGCATTTTTGTCTTGCTCCAAAAGAGTCATGAATAGTTTTGTTTGATGCTAGTGTTCTCTAAAATTGTTTCTGTTAAGTAGGGAACTTCTGGGCCTAGGTTCTAGTTACAGGCTAGCTCTTATCTGATACCTGCCATATTCTCCCTTGTACAATATATAAAGAGTTCCTACAAGTCAAGAATAAAACAATATAAAACATTATGGAAGGATAGAAAACAATTCACAAAAGAAATACAAATGAATAATTAAACTCATGGAAAGATGTTCAGCTGCACCAACAGGAAAATGCAAATTAAAACAGTAAAACACCATTGGCATTAATTTAAATTGGCTCAGCCTCTTTAGAGGGCAATTTGACAACATCTACAAAAACATTATATGCATATACTTTTACTAGGAATTCCATTTCTAAAGATGTCTTCTAATGAGTTATATGCACATATACACAAAGAGGACTATAAAGAGAGACTTACTGTAGCATGTTTGTAATAGTAAAAACTGTCTAAAGCGAATAATTAAACTCTGGAATATTATGCAATAGTTATGTCAACAGGCACCAATCCAGACTAGCTGGCTTGGCTAAATGAGTGTCAAAATATAGTACTTATACAGAAAACAGCTCATATGGGAAAACAGGATTTTCCAAAAGTACTCAGACTCTATAACCCATTTTAAAATTACAGACGGTTTGCAGGTAGGAATCTGCCAACATTCTAAACGGATTTTTGTGACCTTAGTGACATGTTAATATTCTTTAAAAAGCTTTTGTTATTTTTAATCACCAAGCAATATGAGCATCAGGCCCTTTTATTTTATTCCTGAGTCTTATTCCAATTCTGGGCTTTGCCAGAGAGGGTCAAGGTTTGGGTTTTGAAGAAGAAGGTCAGGGAGGAATGTATTTAATATACATAGGATATATAATCTATTCAATAAAATATTTAAACTGTTTCTATAGACCTAGCTTTTATTAAGGTTTACTTTTATAGTTCCACTTTCTCCTGGAATATTTCCTTTTATTAACTCAAATGTAAAGTGCTCAAAACCAAGCATATAATTTCCTCTCGCAATGAGCCATTATTTAATAATTAACACAGAACTTTCAGAAAAAATATGATCAAACTCAAGGACTATTCCATCTCACTGTAGAAAGACCAAAGCCTAACAAGCCTTTTTAAATCTTGAAAAAAGTTTATCCTACAGTTGCAGATCTTATCTGACCTTATCCAAGTTGTTCCACCTTAAAGAAGAAAATGAAAAATGTAACTAAGAAGCAAGTTCAAGGAGGCCCAAGTGCTAAAGATGAGTTAGAGCAGGACTCGGGCATATCTCAAGGTTATGATGTGGTAAGTATCAGGCTCCAAGTGAAATTGCCATAGACTTTGAAGTGGTTTTGTAGAGAGATAAGAATGAGGGTTTCAGTGGCTTCACTGAAGGAGTTCACTGTAGAACACTGTGGTGACAGATTTGATGATGGAAAGCTTAGGAATATACTCAAGAATTTAGAACAAATTAGAAGATATAAGCAAAGCACAGCTACTGTAATATGATTATATCCAAATAGTATTATAACTAGATTGGTATTAGAGTTCTAGAGAATGAGAAAATGGCCCAGCTTCATTGGGTAATTTCATTTGGGCTTCACTTTAATCCTTAGGAGAATAAAAATAGTGATAATAATAATACATATAAGAGCCAAACTTTTTGCATGTTTAATATTTTGAAAGGTCATAAGTGCTTTATATTCATTCATTTAACCAATATTTATTGATCACCTACTATGTTCTTGTCACAGTGCTAGTTGAGAATAGAGTGGTTAACAGACAAGATTCTTGCTGTCATTGGGCTTTCTTTTTCTTTTTTTTTTTTAGTTTCAGGTGTAGAATTTAGTGATTCATCACTTACATACAACACCCAGTGCTCATCGCAAGTGCCCTCCTTAATACATATCATAACCCATCCCCCTACCAGTAACACCTTGTTCTCTATAGTTAAGTGACTGTTTTCTGGTTTGCCTTTCTCCCCCTGCCCCCATTGATATGTTTTGCTTCTTAAACTCCACATGAGTGAAATCATATGATATGCCTTTCTCTGACTGACTTATATTACTTAGGAGAATACACAGTAGCTCCATCCACGCTGTTGCAAATGTTAAGACTTCATTCTTTTTTGATGGCTTTTATATTCCACTGTATATAGAGACCACATCTTCTTTATCCATTCCTCAGTTGATGGACATTTGGGCTTTTTTCATAATTTGGCTATTGTTGATAATGCTGCTATAAACATCAGGATGCATGTATCTTGCTGAATCAGTATTTTTTTCATAATAAATTTATTTTTTATTGGTGTTCAATTTGCCAACATACAGAATAACACCCAGTGCTCATCCCGTCAAGTGCTCCCCTCAGTGCCCGTCACCCATTCACCCCCACCCCCCGCCCTCCTCCCCTTCTACCACCCCTAGTTCGTTTCCCAGAGTTAGGAGTTTTTTTTTTTTTATAAATTAATTTTTATTGGTGTTCAATTTACCAACATACAGAATAACACCCAGTGCTCATCCCGTCAAGTGCTCCCCTCAGTGCCCGTCACCCATTCACCCCCACCCCCCGCCCTCCTCCCCTTCTACCACCCCTAGTTCGTTTCCCAGAGTTAGGAGTTTTTTTTTTTTATAAATTAATTTTTATTGGTGTTCAATTTACCAACATACAGAATAACACCCAGTGCTCATCCCGTCAAGTGCTCCCCTCAGTGCCCGTCACCCATTCACCCCCACCCCCCGCCCTCCTCCCCCTCCACCACCCCTAGTTCATTTCCCAGAGTTAGAAGTCTTTATGTTTTGTCTCCCTTTCTGATATTTCTCACACATTTCTTCTCCCTTCCCTTATATTCCCTTTCACTATTATTCATATTCCCCAAATGAATGAGAACATACACTGTTTGTCCTTCTCCGGTTACTGTGGCCAAGTTCAAAAAGGGTGTTGCCTGAGTTCTCCTCTGGGATTTTGATGGAATCTTGTCTCACATTTAGATCTTTCATCTATTTTGAGTTTATCTTTGTGTATGGTGCAAGAGAGTGGTCCAGTTTCATTCTTCTGCATGTGGATGTCCAATTTTCCCAGCACCATTTATTGAAGAGACTGTCTTTCTTCCAGTGGATCGTCTTTCCTCCTTTATCGTATATTAGTTGACCATAAAGTTCAGGGTCCACTTCTGGGTTCTCTGTTCTGTTCCATTGATCTATATGTCTGTTTTTGTGCCAGTACCACACTGTCTTGATGAACACAGCTTTGTAGTACAACCTGAAATCTGGCATTGTGATGCCCCCAGATATGGTTTTCTTTTTTAAAATTCCCCTGGCTGTTCGGGGTCTTTTCTGATTCCACACAAATCTTAAAATAACTTGTTCTAAGTCTCTGAAGAAAGTCCATGGTATTTTGATAGGGATTGCATTATACGTGTAAATTGCCCTGGGTAACATTGACATTTTCACAATATTAATTCTGCCAATCCATGAGCGTGGAATATTTTTCCATCTCTTTGTGTCTTCCTCAATTTCTTTCAGAAGTGTTCTATAGTTTTTAGGATATATTTTGAGAACCATTTGAATGGTAAATGGTTCTCCAACCTTTTATTTTCAGGTTGTAGGTGTATTTCTGTCTAAAATGAGTCTCTTGTAGACAGCAAATAGATGGGTCCTGTTTTTTTATCCAGTCTGAAACCCTGCGCCTTTTGATGGGGTCATTAAGCCCATTCACGTTCAGAGTTACTATTGACAGATATGAGTTTAGTGTCATCATGATATCTATTTAGTCCTTGTTTTTGTGGATTGTTCCACTGAACTTCTTCTTAAAGGGGAGTTTTAAGAGTCCCCCTTAAAATTTCTTGCAGAGCTGGTTTGGAGGTCACATATTCTTTCAGTTCCTGCCTGTCTTGGAAGCTCTTTATCTCTCCTTCCATTTTGAATGAGAGCCTTGCTGGATAAAGTATTCTTGGTTGCATGTTCTTCTCATTTAGGACCCTGAATATATCCTGCCAGCCCTTTCTGGCCTGCCACGTCTCTGTGGAGAGGTCTGCTGTTACCCTAATATTCCTCCCCATGAAAGTCAGGGACTTCTTGTCTCTTGCTGCTTTAAGGATCTTCTCTTTATCTTTGGAATTTGCAAGCTTCACTATTAGATGTCGAGGTGTTGAACGGTTTTTATTGATTTTAGGGGGGGATCTCTCTATTTCCTGGATCTGAATGCCTGTTTCCCTTCCCAGATTGGGAAAGTTTTCAGCTAGGATTTGTTCAAATACATATTCTGGCCCTCTGTCCCTTTCGGCGCCCTCGGGAACCCCAATTAAACGTAGGTTTTTCTTCCTTAGAGTGTCATTTATTTCCCTTAATCTGTCTTCATGGTTCTTAATTGTTTATCTCTTTTTTCCTCAGTTTCCCTCTTTGCCATTAACTTGTCTTCTATGTCACTCACTCGTTCTTCCACCTCGTTAACCCTCGTCGTTAGGACTTCTAGTTTGGATTGCATCTCATTCAATTGATTTTTAATTTCTGCCTGATTGGATCTAAATTCTGCAGTCATGAAGTCTCGTGAGGCCTTAATGCTTTTTTCTAGAGCCACCAGTAGCTGTAGAATGGTGCTTCTGAATTGGCTTTCTGACATTGAAGTGTAATCCAGATTTTGTAACTCTGTGGGAGAGAGGGCTGTTTCTGATTCTTTCTTTTGAAGTGAGGTTTTCCTTCTAGTCATTTTGCTCAGTGCAGAGTGGCCAAAAACAAGTTGTATTGGAACACGGGGGAGTATCACTGGTCCCTCTAGCTGGTCTTCTGGGGGAGGGGCCTGTTGCGCTGATTCTCAGGTGTTAGCACTTGGGGGAGCTGCTCTGCCCCTGCCTGCTGCAGGGCTCAGCGGGGGTTGTTTACCCCGTGGGGCCCCAGGAGGAACAGTCGCAGTTGCTAAGGCAACTCTGGAAGCCTGGATTCAGCCTCCGCAGGAACTACGGGGCTCGGGGCTCTCGGCTCTCCGTCCGCAGGGCCTGGAGGCTCCGGGGCGGGGCCGCTGATCTGCTCAGCTCGGGGCAGGAGCGTCCTTGCTGTCCTGGGCCCTCCCGGCCTCTGCCTGTCCCGGGGGAGGCCGGATCCTGGGCTGTGTCCCGGCGCCCTGTGCTCCGGGGCCTGCGCTGTTGGGTTTGTGCTCCCGCCCCGCAGTCCCCTCCGCGGAGCCGCCGCCCGAGCCCCTCCGAGCTGCTCCGGCCCCGCCGTGCGCGCTGCAGCCCTTAGGGAGCTCGGCGCACTCTCCGGGGCGCAGGTGTCTGTGAGTGTCCCCGGGAGCCCGAGGGCATCCCCGCCCTCCTGGGTCCTGCTCCAACTCCCTGCGGGCCCCTTTCTGCCCGGGAAGGTTGGTGCAGCTCCTGCTCCTCCGGGACGGGGCTCTCCTGTCCTGGGGACACTCGCCCCGGCCTCAGCCCGGCTCCTCGCGGGGCCCCTCCCCCTCGGAGGCCTTTTGTTCCTTTATTTCTTTTTCCCCGTCTTCCTACCTTGATAGAAGCGCGAACTCTTCTCACTGTAGCATTCCAGCTGGTCTCTCTTTACATCTCAGGCCGAATTTGTAGATTTTCAGGATGGTTTGAAGGTTATCTAGGTAATTTGGTGGGGACAGGCGATTTGGGGACCCTGCTCTTCCGCCATCTTGCCCCTCCTCCTCCGAGTTAGGAGTCTTTATGTTCTGTCTCCCTTTCTGATATTTCCCACACGTTTCTTCTCCCTTCCCTTATATTCCCTTTCACTATTATTTATATTCCCCAAATGAATGAGAACATATGTTTGTCCTTCTCCGATTGACTTACTTCACTCAGCATAATACCCTCCAGTTCCATCCACGTGGAAGCAAATGGTGGGTATTTGTCGTTTCTAATGGCTGAGTAATATTCCATTGTATACATAAACCACATCTTCTTTATCCATTCATCTTTCAATGGACACTGAGGCTCCTTCCACAGTTTGGCTATTGTGGACATCGCTGCTAGAAACATCGGGGTGCCGGTGTCCTGGCGTTTCATTGCATCTGTATCTTTGGGGTAAATCCCCAACAGTGCAATTGCTGGGTCATAGGGCAGGTCTATTTTTAACTGTTTGAGGAACCTCCACTCAGTTTTCCAGGTGGCTGCACCAGTTCACATTCCCACCAACAGTGTAAGAGGGTTCCCTTTTCTCCGCATCCTCTCCAACATTTGTGGTTTCCTGCCTTGTTAATTTCCCCCATTCTCACTGGTGTGAGGTGGTATCTCATTGTGGTTTTGATTTGTATTTCCCTGATGGCAAGTGATGCAGAGCATTTTCTCATGTGCT